AAAGCATCCCTATGGAGGAATGATCATGGACATTTCGTAAGCATAGAATATTTCAACCATGACATGTATTTTCTTGAGACGAGCCCAAGTTGGAGTAGGAGTAGATGCTAGAGTAGTGATTGTTGTATATTCAATTTAACAATAATGGTAAATGATGGGTGAATGTTCCTCATAGAACTCCTTCATTTTAAAATGCTAATTGCATAGCGTTAATGGGGGGAGGGATGTCAGATGCTTGTTATGCCATTCCAAGGATGGTTTTTTGTAACTTTCTCCAAATTATCCTTGTCTTTCATATAGCTCACCCTGAACTTGCCCATAATAACTTCTGTCCAGGGCTGTCAAACATACTTCAACTGAAAGTCTTATTACATGAATGTACTCTTTCTCACTAAGTATTAGTGGCAGAGCAGTAAGAGTTGTAGTATCAATGCAGTAAATATGGAGTAAGGAGTAAGATCTGCAATAAACTCATACATAGAGTTAATGGGAAAAGACAGTCTTAACCTAAGCAGAGTTGTGATTGCTTTCTATTATACCATTTATTCATTTTGTATCTATTTTAATTTATTTTAATTTATCTCTCATTGAGTTATCTGTCTTTTCCTAGTGTTGGCTATGCAGGACTGGTGTCTGCAATAATATACGGTTCCTCTCTGGACAGGAACCATACATATTACTGCAATACATCTGTTTCAATATACATAGAGTAGAAGCAAAATGGAGCTGATGGTGAGAATTTTAGTTCCATTTTGATAAGAGTGTTTTTTTTTTTTTAAGTTCAACTTCTACATTTAAAGGAAGTGAAAATTGATCTTAAAAAGTGAGTGAGGGAGCAAGACTGTTCTTTTTTTTCATTGGGTCCAAGGACTTTGAGTACTTTCTCATTAGAAGGGTTTGCTTGGATCTCTGTTTGTTCAATCATTTTTGCTCCAATTTTGAGTTCCCAGCCCTTGGCAGAAAGGTTTTATTTTTAACAGATATATTCAGGAATGTGCAATATG